GGGCAGGGGGGAGGAGGCGCCGGCCTCGCTGGCTGGCGCTCAGCCTCCAGGTCTGACACCTGCGGGGAGAGCGGGTGTGGCCGCGAGGGAAGTGGGCGGAGGGGGAGGTAAATCGGGACCCTGCTGGAAGCCGGCCAAAGAGGACCCGAGGCCCACGTGACTGGGCAGGCGCCGGAGCCGTGGCTGGGGGCCAGCCCCGAGGGTGGGGGCTCAACGCTCCGAGGCGGCAGGCAGGGGGCCAAGAGCCCTGGCCGGGTCCTCTTGCGCAAGTCCTTCCTTGGGAAGAATTCGGCTCTGGGTGAAGGGGGAGGCAGCTGGCCAAAGGGGGGGAGGGGTCAGCCAGAGGCCACACCAGCCCTGACCATCTCCATCACCTGCTAGTGCCCCCGCCCCCAATTCCTGCTGGAGAAGGGGAACACCGGTGCTTTGTCCCCAACTGCCTTTGTCCAGGAGGGTGGCCAGGTTATTGTCCCATTGTGCAGGTGAGGCGGAGGACGGCTGAGACCAGGGTGTGGCGGGGCAGCTCCTCACCCTGAGTGTCAGTTTCTGCATCTGCGAAGTGGGAAGAAGGGTCACGCCCCAGCAGGCCTGGAATTCTATGAGCCTGCGGCTCATGAGCCTGCCCTGTGAAGTGCCTGCCCGCAGGAGAGCTAGATGTCTTTCAGGGGAGGCTCAGGGAGGCCCTGCTTTGTCCAGGGGTGGGCAAGAGGCAGTTTCCCTCCCCCACTCCCAGTGTCTCAGATCTGGCTCCGGGGAAAACACCCTTTCCACCCCCGGGTGAGGCCCGCTCTCCCCTGCACCCACCAGCACCCCCCACCCCCGCTGGGGGATGTCGTTGACAGCATTTCCAGGGTGCTGAGGTGCTCTCTGGCCTCGGGAGCCGGCAGCTGTGCTCGCTGCTTCATGTTTTGCCTGCTTTGGCGTCCGAAGCATTTACGCATGTCTACATGTACCTATTTCTGCAGAACGAAAGATATACGCGGTGGGCCCTCCCTGGTGGCGCAGCCGGGTGAAGCCGGCTGCTGCTCCTGCAGTGAGTTCCTCCCCGCCAGGGAGTGACCCACGTGGCGCGGCAGGCCTCTTCCAGCAGGGTGCTTCGGTTGAGCAGTATGAACCCTATCATCAAAAAGTCCCGTAAAAAAAGGGTCATCAAGGGGCGGTGGGAATGTGCCTGTCGCACTCACGTGCTGAGATTTTATGGGAAGCAGCGGCCAAGCGACAGACGGGGCCTGAGGTCACAGCCGCGCAGGCCGCGGGAACAGAGGCGGCGTTACGGGAAGTTTCGGAGTCAGGCAGGGCCGGCTCAAACTCTGGCTCCTCTTCCGCAGGGGCAGTGCGGGCCATCCGCTGGCTGCCCTGAGCCTCAGTCTCCCCACCTGGGCGTGGCCCAGCCACCTCTCGGCTAGCTTGGGGACGGGCAGCTTGGACGTGCCCTCCCCAGCGACGTCTCCTGTTGGCCTGCACCGCCGGCGCGGAGAGGAGACCAGAGCGGAGTTTCCTTCTTTCCTAGACATCAGCCGAAGGGCAGCGGCGCCTCGCAGTCTTCCCCTTCCATCCCTGGCAGTCACACACTTCCTTAAAATGGGGGTTTCCCTTCTGCCCGCTTGGTACGGGCCGCCCCCTCCCCCCTTCAGGAACTGCCTGTCTGAGGAGGTGCAGGCCCCTCTGGTATTGGCCAGATCTGGGCGATCTCCCCTGTGGACTCAGACTGTCCTGGGCAAGGCCCCTGAGGCTGTTCTCAGATGCAAGGGCAGGACAGGGCCTCCTGACAGGGCCTCCTGAGCGGAAGACCTGGCTTGCAATACGGCTCACCTCGGCTAGCAGATCTGGCCCTTCCCCTTTTCGGCTTCTTGGTTCCTCACCAGCAGAAGAAGTGGCATCATCTTATCTACACTGACACAGGGTTGGTTGTTGAGAGAATTCAGCAAGCGCGTGGGGGCCCCCAGCTTGCTCGTTTGCAGAATCACCCTGCGGAACTGTCTTGACACTGTGACCGGCGCGTTCATCAAAGGTTGTAGCAAGAAATCACTACATAAAATTCAGTCTCCGTTGGCTGTCAGATGTATGGAGAATATGACCAGTGCATGTCTCCAATTGAGAGATTTCTCCGGCATGAGAAATGAATAGAATTTGTGTCAGGAAAACTGGGCAATGCCCTTTCCTCTGACGGCAGGTGCTCTGAGACCGACTTGTCTTATTTCCATTTTCGCCTTGGCTTCCAGGAAGCTTAGAGCTAAATGTTGTGCTTCCTGACAGCAGCTCCATCACATGCCATGGGCTTATCTTTATAGCTGAACTTTCCGGAAACCACTGGGCAGATGGTCAGGTATAAGCTTTCCCAAATTCTTTTGAGGAAGAAAGAAGGAAAAGAGGGAGTGAGGGAGGAGAGCAGCTAGAGTATCAAGAGACTAAAACGTAGGCTTGGTTTCTGTGACGCACAGAATAAGCTAATTTAAATGGAACAGAAGTGCACCGCAGTCTGGCCGTAAGCACTCGCGGATGGAACGAGCCTCCTGGGTCGGCGGGACCCTGGCCGCAGACCCTCATCCTCCCTAGGGCGTTGCCTGTGACGCATGTCGGCGCGGCGGCCACCCAGTCTTCCCAAGCAGGGAGACAGGAGCGCGGAAGGCTCAGCCCTGGGAACCCTTGGCCTCACACTGGCGCATGGCTATCCCACATGCACCCCATTGTGA